ACCTCCCTGAAGAACCTTTTTATGTGGGAATTGCACCAATGATTTGTTCCTTTGGAGAAGCTTGAAGGTGTCCCCCAGCAAAGACAGAAGAAGCCACACTGAAATAGCTGAAGGATGTTAGCTGAGAATCATTCAAAGTCAGTCGGAACGATTGGGGCTTGTGCAGCGTAAAGCAGATCAACTGCCAGATATTGAACCCAGCTCGGTAGAGGTTCTAGGTTCCACGGATGATGCGGCAGAACAGCACAACGACATACAATGAATTATGATGCTTGGTTACAGCTTCTAAGTCCGATCCTGTGGTGTTGCAAAGCCATGGCCGGACATGAAGATAAACCTGCGGCAGCTGAATGGCACGGTGGAAGAGGTTGAAGTGAACCCAGTGCCGAAGCCAAATCAGACGAAACTTCCGTTCTAGCTGGAAGAGGGGGTCCCCTTTAGCGACCGTTTCAACAAGCACATATTCTCTTCAAGCGATGGCCTCCAACTACTATAGCGATGGCCTCCACCGTAGTAGTAACTACAGAGCCAAGCATGTCACAGCACTCATCAGATTTCAACATGTGTAGAACACGGCCTCTCATTGCTGGGTCGCTTGGGGGAAGGCAAATGAGCTAGCGGGTTCAGTTTGTTGAAGGAACCTGTCATTAGATTGATTGTGATCCAAGGTATATGCAGGGCATTGTTTTCATTGTTTGTTTCAGGAATCTTGCTGTACCCCCCGTTCCAACATGTTGGCGCCTTTGGATCAACGATGTTTGTTGTTTGCCTTCCTGCTTCCAGTTCATGCTGAGGATGCCACCGTCCGTGATTTTAAGCGTTAGTTAAAAGAGTTGCAAGGATGCGATGATATGACGCGAGAGCTGATGGTTGTGGATTTGTTTTACAACCTCGAACAGTTGAATGATCAGAAAACACTGGCAGAGGCAGGCATCAGCGCTGGTGCGGAGGTGGGCACGGGTCAAAAGGGATTGAGTATTGATTTTTGAGTTCTGACTCCAGGGATTTGCAAAAGAATTGAATTGGGCATGTCACGAAAGCTAGCGAAGCTAGCTGGAGTTACTCTTGCGATAGCAAGGTTTCTTTCGACCGGGTGCAAATCCTAACCCCTGATTTTTCAGGTCGAAGCCCCCCCCCCCCTCCCCTCTCCCCACCTCCCCTCTCCCCACCTCCCCTCTCCCCACCTCCCCTCTCCTCCTCCTTGTCTTCCTCCCACCTTCCCTCCCTCCCTCCCTCCTCCCTCTTCGTCGCAAGTTCGACTCCGTCCTGTCGTCGCTCTTTGGCATGCGGTTAGCGTTGCGTATCTTGCAGCCGCACTCGCTCACTCTCACTGTCTCACTGTCTCACTGTCTCTCTGTCTCACTGTCTCTCTCTCTCTCTCTCATCTCTCTCATCTCTCTCATCTCTTTCTCATCTCTCTCATCTCTCTCTCCTCTCTCTCTCTCTCTCTCTCCTCTCTGTCTCTCGTCTTTCCGTCTCTCTTCTCTCTCTTCTCTCGCAGGAGGATCCGGGCAAAGAGCCACATATAAAGGACTTTTCACCCCTGCCTCCAAAAAGAGCGCCGTGTTTTTTCCTACCTCGCTGCCCTTCACTTTCCCATTCTGGAGCGCTAGCTTTCGCCCCCCCCTTGGCCTCAAGTTCCCACACACTTTGCAGGTGCAGGTCGTTTCATATTTCATCATATTTCTTTGTGTCGTTGATGTGTTTTTGGTGCTCCATCCAGGTGCAGATCCTGTTTGGCACGATGGCTCCAGTCGAATGCCCGAACCGGAAATCTGCTGGAGTTGAAGAGTTGGTGGTTGTAAAGATCCCAGACTCTGTGACTTGGATCCAAGATGGGGCCTTTAGAGGCTGTAAATCCTTGGTGAAAGTGGACATCCCAAACTCTGTGACTTCCATTGGAGACTATGCGTTCAGTGATTGCAGCTCATTAAGACGCTTGACGATCCCCAGCTCCGTTGCATTCGTTGGACATCGTGCCTTCGAAAATTGCAGCTCGTTGGTAGAGGTGCAATTTTCCAACCCAGCCGAGAGCTCGATGACCTCGATTAAGGCTGGTGCTTTCAATAACTGCCAGTCCCTGGTCCAATTCACAATTCCCAATTCTGTGACTTCCATTGGATGTGGTGCTTTCAGTTGCTGCCACTCCTTGGCCGAAATGATCATCCCCAACTCTGTGGCTCACATCGGTGACCTTGCCTTCGAGAATTGCAGCTCATTGGAACAAGTGACCATCCCAGAATCGATCACTTGTATTGGCGAAGATGTCTTTGCTGGCACGAGGATTTCTACCTCACAAGAGGCAGAGGTGAATCAGGCTAGTTGTGGCAAGAAGAGTGGGGCGCAAGGGAAAAAGACGTGCTCTTAGAGTTGTAAACTCCTATGTACATGAACGCTTATCAAGATGTACAATAAATAGATTGTCTAAAGCATCTTTGGTATGTTTGACAGCTCGTTTTCAACATGCAAGTGGCAGGAGCTATCATAAAGAGACTTGTAATCGAGGCTACTCCTACTCCCACTTCTTTGAGACATGGGAGGAACAACTCTACACGGCTGTGATGCAAGTAGCTTTCCCACACGGCCCATTCTTCAAACGGCGGTTGAGTTCGTTTCGAGCTACGTAGGTTTTGCTGGTCATCCTGAGTTCAATCACCAAGAGGTTGGTCACAATCACTTCATAGGAAATCAAGTTGGTCTTTGTGTTCAACTGGAAACATGGTTGAACATGGTTGAACCAGGTTTTTGACTGCGCATGTTGAATTCCTCCTTTTCCTTGGTTCGTTCTCCTTTTCCTTGGTTCGTTGCAAGACAGTCTGGTTCGCTGCTGGCTTGGGTAGCCGGGCATGCTCCCAATAGTGCACCTTCTTTGGTACTGTATTCGTTTTGAGATATTGTTCTTTCAAGATTTGTTCAGGTTGCACAAACGATGTTCTGAAGGTTTGCAAGATCCTCCCTCCCACAGCCAGCAAGGCCGCCATCCAACTCATCTTGGTGAATTCGGAACTAAAAAATATTAAAAGCACATCTCTCGCTAGTACCCGCTCGTTCGTGCGATGCTTTCTGCATGAATAAGTGCACCAGTGGCGCTGCTCGCCCTGCTCGACCCTCAGATCAACTTCGCTCCTTCGATCCAGCTCCTTGGATCGAGGAGGGGTATGTTGGGTTTCTCTTGGACCTGTCGCAATGACTTGTGCGTTTATTTCCCGACACTATGTATGCCATATTTTCCGATCAGCTGGGGTGGTTTGGGGGTTCAATGTATAGGCATTTATTGATATTTATGGCATATCTGGAATATTCTGGAATGTTTCTTTTTTAATAAAGAGACCCGAACAATTCGGGTTTCCTCCATTTTCCTTCTAGCGGATCGAAATTGGTATGTCTCCCTATTGAACTCACACCGTTTCAAGAAATACTCGTACTTCCAAGAACAAGACATTTGTCGTCATAAATATCTCTACCAAAGCACCGCACCGGGCCCAGGATGCCACAGATATGATCGGTTACGGAGGATAATATTTGGTTGGGATATATTGGAATATTAATATATATATATAGATTTAAAATATATATTTTAAAAAAATCAGGAATTATTCAAATTATTAATTAATAGAAAATATATATAGAAGGTATTATAAAAATTAAACAATATTAAATATAATTAATATATTATATATTAATTTCTAATTTATATAATTACATAAAAATTTATGAAATTTATTCGAAAATATATAAATTGCGAAATACAAAAATTAAAAAAATATATAATATATTGATAAATTCAAATTTATATTGAACTAAATTTATATTATATGTTAATAAATAAAGAAAAATACGTTATTTATTTATTTTTCGCGTTTAGAATTATTTTAGGAAATATTTTTATATTTATTTTGTTTTTTTCGTTTAGATTTGGGATATGATATGATAGATTTAAAATTATGATATCGTTTATATTATTATTAATATATTTTATATATTTTTAATATTTTTTTTTTATAAATGAATAATTAATAATTTTATTTTTATGCAAATAATAATATATTTTTCTTCGATAGATATATTTTTAGCATTAGGTGGCATTATATATTTTATTTCGATTGATATGGATATATATTCGCTAGTTTTCATTACTTATATTTGATTTTAAATAGAAATATATTTTGCAAAAGAATTTTTTTTGTATAATATTTATAATTAAAAGATATTTTTATATACATATATTTATATGATATTTGTGTAATTGGTGAAATATTTTTGGAATTTAGATATTTTACGATTCTTTTGGAATATATTTTGTATTATTCTATAGGATATTTTTATGAAATATTTTGGTATAATATTTATTTTTGGAAATTCCTTTGGCAAAATATTTTTATAGGGCATATTTATGTTGTATATGTTTTTTGGGCATTTTTGAAGGATTATTTTGGCGAATATTCTTGTGGAATATGTTAATAGAATTATTTTATTGACCATCATTCTTATAGGATATTTTTATAGAATATCCTTATAGGATATTTTTTTGAGATATCCTTGTAGGATATTTTATATGATATTTTTATTGGAATTTTTTATGGGTTATTTTTGTGGCACACTTTTTGGCATATTGAAAGATATTCTTGCGGAATATTTTTATGGGACATTCTCGTAGGACATTCTTGTCGGTCACTTTTGTGGAACATTTTTGCGGATCATTTTTATAGGATCTTTTTGTGGGATATTTGTATAAGACATTTTTACGGAAAAAAATATTGACCCACTTTTGTGGGTTATTAATATAGGACATTTTTTTGATGGAGATATTTGTGGAATATTCTTACAGGATATTCTTTCGAAATTCTCTTGAAAGGCAATGTCCGATGCTCTTGTGGGGGACATTTACGGAACATTTTCGTAATATTGGTTCGTGGGATATTCTTATATGATGCTTTTATGGGGCACTCTTGTGGAACACTTTTGTAGGACATTTTTGTGGGATATGTTAGTGGGACATTCTTGTACGATAATCTTGTCGGACACTTTTGAGGGACATTCTTGCGGAATATTTTTATAGAATTGTCTTGTGGGATATTACACTATTTTTTTTGATTGTATTTATGTTTGTTTATCTGTTTTTCCGTGGACGTTTTGGGATACGATATAATAGATTCTAAATTATGGTTGATTATATCATTCTTGTTCGTGTATCTTATATATTTTTAATATTTTGCCTCATGAACGAGATATTGAGAATTATTATTCTAATAGCCCCATGCCTATGAAAAAAATGAAGTATTTTTCTCCGGTTGATGTGCCCTTTAGCATTGGATGGCGTTATATATTTCATTTCTATTGATATGGATGCATTTTCGTTAGCTTTCGTCACCTATCCTCGGCCTTAAATTCATTATGGATTTCATAGGATACAATTAAGGATTTTTTTACGAATATATTTATAGGATTGTTTTGTGGGATATTTTTACGAAATGTTAATTGGAATATATGTATAAAATATTTTTATGCATAGCGTTTATTCTTGAGAGCTATTTTTGCATAAATATTCTTGTATGATATTTGTGTGATATATTATTGGTGAAATTGCGATTCTTTTGGGACACTTTTGCAGAATTCTTTTGTAGGACATTCTTGTGAAATATTTTGGTATGACATATATTTTTGCGGAATATTTTTGGAGATCCCTTTGGCGAAATGGTTTTTATAGGGCATGTTTATGATATATGATATATATGTTTTTTGACGGATATTTTTGTGGAATATTCTTGTGGGGCATTTTTGAAGGTCAATTTTGTCGAATATTTTTGTGGAATATTTTAGTAGAATTATTTTATTGACCATCCTTCTTATAGATCATTCTTGTAGGACATTTTTGTGGGATATCCTTATAGGATATGTTTATGAGATATCCTTGTAGGATATTTTATATGATAGTGCTATTGGATTCTTTTTATGGGTTATTTTCGTGGAACACTTTTGGGATATTGAAAGATATTCTTGCGGAACATTCTTATGGGACATTCTCGTTCGTAGGACATTCTTGTCGGTCACTCTTGTGGAACATTTTTGCGGATCATTCTTGTAGGACCTTTTTGTGGGATATTTGTATAAGACATTTTTACGGAAAAAAATATTGACCCACTCTTGTGGGGCATTAATATAGGACATTCTTTTGATGGAGATGTTTGTGGGATATTCTTATAGGACATTCTTTCGAAATTCTCTTGAAAGGCAATGTCCGATACTCTTGTGGGGGACATTTACGGAACATTCTCGTAGTATTGGTTCGTGGGATATTCTTATATGATGCTTTTATGGGGCACTCTTGTGGAACACTCTTGTAGGACATTTTTGTGGGATATTTTGGTGGGATATTCTTGTACGACAATCTTGTCGGACACTCTTGAGGGGTATTCTTGCGGAATATTTTTATAGAATTGTCTTGTGGGATATTACACTATCTTTTTTTCATGGTATTTATGTGTGTTTATTTTTGTCCGTTGACGTTTTGGGATACGATACAATAGATTCTAAATTATGGTTGATTGTATCATTGTTGTTCGTGTATCTTATATATTTT